ATAGGGATGCACCAAATTTCGGTGGCTGAAACGTTTCGGCTGAAAACACCACTTTCGGCCGATATGAAAAAAAGCACCGATACAGGTGCAGAAAAAACCCCAGCCCTCGCCATCACCCGCCGCTTCTGCCACCGGCCGCTGCTCGGTAGTTCTCAGCCTTACCTGAGAAACCATCGAACTATCGTAGCGCTGGGCATAGAGATGAGTGAAGGAAAGATGGCCTCCACTCATCTCTATGCCCTTGGAGGACCAGAGCGATGTCACTTCAAGTTCCGTCCATTTTTCTTTTCTTTTTAAAGCACTAGATCAATGCTTTTTTTTATCCAATGCTTTACATTGCAGAAGAGAGATGTGGGGTCTTATTGACCCCATATCTCTCCATAAAGAGGACCTGTCACTAATTATTTCTATCACAAGGGATGCATGCATTTTTTGTGATAAGAAAAAAAGTGATTACACAAGGGACAGTGCAAAAAAAATAATAAAATAAAATAAATAATAACTAAAAAAAGTTTAAAGTGCCCCGTCCCCCCCATGTCACACGTAGTAGTGAGCGCATATGTAGGCCATGTCCACATATGTAAATGGTGTTCAAACCACACATGTGAGGTATCGCCACGAACATCAGAGTAAGAGCAATAATTCTCGCACTAGACCTCTGTAACTTTACACTGCTAACCTGTAGAAATTTTTAAAGCATCACCCATGGAGATTTTTAAGTACCGCAGTTTTACGCCATTTCACAAGCGTGCGCAATTTTAAAGTGAGACATGTTTGGTATCTATTTTTTTTGGTTTTTTTAAATCAAAGTGTATATTTTTCCAAAAAATATATATTCATTTTTAAAAACTGCGCATTTTGGTTTCGGTTTTCGGCCAAGTTCATTTTGAATTTTTGGTTAGGGTTTAATAAAAGAGCAGAGAAGCTTTAACGTTTGACATGGACTTTATATCTACAACATATTACATTACAGTTACAATGGTATTCTATACATTCTACAAGGGAAGGCGATTAATAACATCACCCTGAAATGGAAAAGCTCACCATTGCCATCTTGTGCTCTTAAATGATACTTCTGTAGCAACAAGATGACGCCAATGAAACAGATTAGGTTGTCACTGTCCACCCCTCATTTCTACAAATACCAATTGCCTGCCTGTCATGATGAATATTTGGCTTCTGAGTCACTGACCTGGAACAAGTATGCAGGTTAGGAGTTTTCACCTCCCTGGCTTCATATTTGTTCCAGGCTAAAGACATATGCATTATTGAAGCTAGAAAAAGCCAGGCAACAAATATTTCAGAAGGAGAGGTAAAAAGTGTCCGCCTGTGTCTTCTCTCAGTAGAGGTTTCCTTTATAAAACATACGATACCATGAGTAGAAATCATTGGCATGTGACATGAAACTAGTTTGTATAAAAATGCATTAAAAACAATTACAGTTTCTACAAAACAACACACGGCATTAAAAATCTATGAATTATTAACAGAAAATTAAAAAGCTCTATTTCCATAAAAATCTATCAAGTGCAGCTGTAAAGTGACATGGTCGTCTAAGTGCATCTGTCAAATACAGTAAATATAGAGGCAGTGCTACAAATCTTCTGTCTGTTTAGAGGTCACCCGTGACAGAGCAGATTGGAGGGTCTGGTTGATTTGGCTAATCCAATCTGTTTAGAAAAGGGCAACTGAACCTAAAACTGGTATTTTACATTGTGGTAGACAACAGTGGGCTGATGCAGCTAACAGATATATCAGATATGCAGTTGCAAGAAAAAGTATGTGAACCCCTTGGGATTACGTGGCGTTTTGCATGAATTGGGCATAAAATGGGCTCTGAACGTCATCTAAGTCACAACAATAGAAGAACACAGTCTGCTGAACATAATACTACACAAACATTAGATGTTGCCATGGTTTAATTGCACATAACATGTAAACATTAACAGTGCAGGGAGGAAAAAGTATGTGAACCTTTGGACTTAATAACTGGTTGACCCTCCTTTGGCAGCAATAACCTCAACCAAACGTTTCCTGTAGTTGCAGATCAGACCTGCACAACGATCTGGAGTAATTTTGGACCACTCCTCTTCACAAAACTGTTTCAGTGTAGCAATATTCTTGGGATGTCTGGTGTGAATCGCTCTCTTAAGGTCATGCCACAGCATTTCAATCGGGTTGAGGTCAGGACTCTGACTGGGCCATTTCAGAAGGCGTATTCTGTGCTGTTGCAGCCATTGTTTTGTTGAATTACTTGTATGCTTTGGGTCATTGTCCTGTTGCATCACCCATCCTCTGCGGAGCTTCAGTTGGCGGAAAGACGGTCGTACGTTTTCCTGCAAAATGTCTTGATAAACTCTGGAATTCATTTTCCCATCAATGACAACAATCCGTCCAGGCCCTGAGGCAGCAAAGCAGCCCCAAACCATGATGCTCCCTCCGCCATGTTTTACAGTGGGGATGAGGTTTTGATGTTGGTGTGTTGTGCCTTTTTTTCTCCACACATAGTGTTGTGTGTTCTTCCCAAACAACTCAATCTTGGTTTCATCTGTCCACAGTATATTTTGCCAGTAGTGCTGTGGAACATCCAGGTGCTCTTTTGCAAACTTCAAACGTGCTGCTATATTCTTTTTGGACAGCAATGGCTTCCTCCGTGGTGTCCTCCCATGTACTCCATTCTTGTTTAATGTTTTCCTTATTGTAGATGTGTCAACAAAAATGTTAGCATGTGCCAGAGATTTCTGTAGGTCTTTAGCTGACACTCTGGGATTCTTCTTTACCTCATGCAGCATTCTGCGCTGTGCTCTTGCAGTCATTTTTACAGGACGACCACACCTAGGGAGAGTAGCAACAGTGCTAAACTTTCTCCATTTGTAGACAGTCTGTCTTACCGTGGACACATGAACATCAAGGCTTTTGGAGAAACTTTTGTAACCCTTTCCAGCTTCATGCAAGTCAACAATTCTTGATCGTAGGTCTTCTGAGAGCTCTTTTCTGCGAGGCATGATTCACATCAGACAGTGCTTCTTGAAACCAGTAAACCCAAAACAGGTGTGTGTTTTTTAAGGGCAGGACAGCTGTCAGCAACACATCCAATATCATCACACTGATTGGAGTCAAGGTTGGCTCACTCCTGGCTCCAATTAGCTCTGGGAAAAGTCATTAAGCTAGGGCCTCACATACTTTTTCCTCCCTGCACTGTGAATGTTTACATGTTATGTGCAATTAAACCATGGCAACATCTAATGTTTGTGTAGTATTATGTTCAGCAGACTGTGTTCTTCTATTGTTGTGACTTAGATGACGTTCAGAGCACATTTTATCCCCAATTCATGCAAAACTCCACGTAATCCCAAGGGGTTCACATACTTTTTCTTGCAACTGTATCTCTACCCCTTTCCAAAAGGTTATAAGTGCAGTAACCCATAGAAAGTCCTCAACCAGCATCTTTGGCTGCTCTCATGTCTTTATATTGATGAAAAGAGAACTTTGGCTACTATTGGTTACTGAACTTTGCACATCATCATTTCTCTCCGCCTTATAATATAAGAAGGATAAAACTTCTAAGACAGTAGGAGTGAAGTAAATATCAAGTACACTATTCAAGTTCTGTCAAGGAAACTCCAATAATTAGGAGATCCCCTATAATTTTCACATTTAAGAGCCCTAAAAACTTCTCAAATGTAAAATCTGAAAAGATAAAATTTGTTATTTAAAATGCAGAGCAAAAAAAATGCAGACCCAGAAAAGCGATGTATGCAATAAATCATAGTGGGTCAGTAACTTATATACTAAAGTTTAGACCTTGATTACTCTCTAATCCAAAAGATCCCCGAAAAAGATCAATTAGGCCTTGGATCAGAAAAACAAGGATTTCAGTAAAGGAATATGTAAACCCAACATTTAATATTTCTGATATGTGCCTATTGTACCATGTGCTTGTATGAAAAAGTATCCTGTTCTCTTTGTGTTGCTTCATTTGTGTGAAATCCCTGGTATTCCTGCCAGTACCTCGGCTTTCCTTTTAAAAACTGACTACACTAGGCATGAGAGTAAAGCATGGTCAGATTTTTAGTTGTGCTGAGAACACATCCTGCTCTCCTCCAATGATCAAAATTCTTCTGACATGCTCCCCCACACACACAGCCATTCACTGGGAAGACCAGTGGGCTACTGTTTCTCCTCCCTGAGCTTCTTATGCAGCTGAGAACAGAGATTATGTGATCACTTATTAAAAAAAAGGAGAAAAAGGAATTTAGAATATTATTTAGATGTATTCACAAATGTTTTGCCTTTCATTTCAATTTTAACCTGAATGGGTTGTTTTAGAAGGTGAGGGTTTACATATACTTTAAGACACAAAACAAAAAAATTATTTAGACCTAGACTGGGCTGCGAACCAAAATAGCCCACAAACAACGTGGTCCTTAATTTCCATCTAAATAATACAGAAAAAGATCAATGCTTAGGTTAGACCTGGAACTGAAAATTCCAGAAGAGATCTATAGCTAGGCTGGGCCTGGAACCTTAATATTCCAGAATAGAGGATCTATGTTTAGATTTGGTGGGAACCAAAATATACCAAAAAGAATCTATAGCTATATGAGGCTTAAACCAACAGTAGCCACTAAAAGATTTAGGTCTAGGCTAGGACTTCAAGCTAAAGATTCCAGAAAAGTATTTAGTCTATGATTAGGCTCTGGACCAAATGAATCCAGTAATCGTTCCAGTGATCCAGCTTTTCAAGTCTGCAGGTTTGTAGCATAATCTTTCAGTCATTCGATAATCTTGGGTAAAGGCTTTTACAGTGTATACCACATGGTCATGTGGACAGCAATGAATTTGTGTCCCATTCATTCACCATACTTGATATAGCCTGCTGGCTGTACTGGCAGTTTTGTACAATGAAAACCAAAAAGTAGGACAGCCCTCCAGCTCATCCTTTGACACCTGTGTACTATCAGGCTTTAGCCTTTTGATAAAGGTAGAGTAGCCTGACATCAGAAGCTGGTGACTTGCTGTAGTGTGGCTCCGTGGCTGCCCTGCATACGCAGGGAGTGGATTCCCGAGTTAAAGCTGGCACACAAGATGGAAGTGTCATCACAGACTGCGAGGGAGGATAATGGCCCAGAGCCATCCAAGAACAAGCTGCTCAGACATGCTTAGTAAAAAACAAAAAGTGAGAACATGTTTAATCATTTTTTTGTAACAGATGTAATGATATTCTGCATTTTCTACTTTGAAGAGAATATGCTGATTAAAGTGAAAGAAATGAAGAGGGTATCTTATAGGAGGAACAAAAATACAAAACAGAATGCCTTACTAAGGCCTAGAATCTCCAACGCAAACATAAATATGGACTGGCTGCATTCTCAATAATGCCATCAATCTCTAATGCATGGATAGGCTTCATTCTCAGCAATATCACTAGTCTTTAGTGAAAGGATAGACTGCAATCTCTCTGATTTCAATTAACTCAAAGGAGTGGATAGGTTGCACTCTCGGTGCTGTCACTGGTCTCTAGTGAATGGGTAGGCTGTGTTCTCAGTGATGTCACCGATCTCTAGTGAATGGATAGGCTGCATTCTTGGTGCTGTCACCGGTCTCTAGTGAATGGATAGGGTGTGTTCTCAGTGATGTCACTGGTCTCTAGTTAATAGATAGGCTGTGTTCTCAGTGATGTCACCGGACTCTAGTGAGTGGATGGGCTGCATTCTTGGTGCTGTCACTGGTCTCTAGTGAATGGGTAGGCTGCATTCTTAGAAATGTCACTGGTCTCTAGTGAATGGATAGGCTGTGTTCTCAGTGATGTCACTGGTCTCTAATGAATGGATAGGCTGCATTATTGGTGCTGTCACTGGTCTCTAGTGAATGGATAGGCTGTGTTCTTAGTGATGTCACTGGTCTCTAGTGAATGGGTAGGCTGTGTTCTCAGTAATGTCACTGGTCTCTAGTGAATGGATGGGCTGCATTCTTGGTGCTGTCACTGGTCTCTAGTGAATGGATAGGTTGCATTCTTGGTGCTGTCACTGGTCTCTAGTAAATGGGTAGGCTGCATTCTCAGTAAAGTCACCGGTCTCTAGTGAATGGATAGGCTGTGTTCTCAGTGATGTCACTGGTCTCTAGTGAATGGATAGGCTGCATTCTTGGTGCTGTCACCAGTCTCTAGTGAATGGATAGGCTGTGTTCTCAGTGATGTCACTGGTCTCTAGTGAATGGATAGGCTGCATTCTTGGTGCTGTCACCAGTCTCTAGTGAATGGATAGGGTGTGTTCTCAGTAAAGTGACTGGTCTCTAGTGAATGGATAGGCTGTGTTCTCAGTGATGTCACTGGTCTCTAGTGAATGGATAGGCTGCATTCTTGGTGCTGTCACCAGTCTCTAGTGAATGGATAGGTTGCATTCTTGGTGCTGTCACTGGTCTCTAGTAAATGGGTAGGCTGCATTCTCAGTAAAGTCACTGGTCTCTAGTGAATGGATAGGCTGCATTCTTGGTGCTGTCACCAGTCTCTAGTGAATGGATAGGGTGTGTTCTCAGTGAAGTGACTGGTCTCTAGTGAATGGATAGGCTGTGTTCTCAGTGATGTCACCAGTCTCTAGTGAATGGATAGGGTGTGTTCTCAGTGATGTCAGTCACTGGTCTCTAATGAATGGATGGGCAGTATTCTTGGTGCTGTCACCGGTCTCTAGTGAATGGATAGGCTGTGTTCTCAGTGATGTCACCGGTCTCTAATGAATGGATGGGCAGTATTCTTGGTGCTGTCACCGGTCTCTAGTGAATGGATAGGCTGCATTCTCAGTGAAGTCACCAGTCTCTGGAGAAATGGACATGGGCTTTTCTATTGATGTCACAGGCCTCTATTGAATGGAAAGACTGCATAATCAGTGCTGTTGTTAGTCTTCAATAAATGGATAGGGTGCATTTTTATTGATGTCACAGGTCTCTAATAAATGGATAGGCTGTAACCCCAGTGATGTCATGAATCCCTTCTCAGTGGATTGGCTACAATCCCAGCATTGTCAATAGTCCCAAGTTAATGAGCAGGCTGCATTTTCAGATTGTTTCACTATTAGTATCTGTAACCGAGTATCTGTCTACAAAATTGAGCTGGCATCTGAATCCTAACCAGCGGATTCCTTATAAACCCATATATTTCAATTGTTTCACTATTAGTATCTGTAACTGAGGACCGTTCTACAAAATTGAGCTGGTATCTGAATCCTAATCATCCTTATAAACCCATATAATAAATATTAATGCATTACCTACCTCCAGTGTCTCTCTCCCAGACTTTTACCGTACAGTCATGTGATGCAGTGGCCACTAGTGGGGTGTCCCATGTATTTTTAGCAAGAAAGACACATGATGTGGTGCTCTGCAGGTGCCCCTTATATTCACACACCTTGTCTTTTCTTTGTCGGAGGTCCCATAACTGGAAGAGAGGGGGGAGGGACAGTGTAGCTTATGCTTTGGATCACTTAAAATGATTAAGGTTGTACATAACTGGACAAGAGCAAAGGCTGATCTCTCACCGTGGCTTCACAGCCCTGTCCACCAAAGCCATTGCTGCTGGTCAGGCAGTAATTTCCATCTTCACTGACATCACAGTGCATCTGTATATACTGCTTCATTGGGAACATGTGCGCCAAATGCAGGTTACGGATGTCCCAGACACTGGAGGAAGAGAGAAGAGTAAGACGGATGTATTAATTAGTATATTGAGTAGTAACCCGAAGAAGATATGACAACAGCATAGGACCAACTATAACCACAGTGACTGCTATAAAGCCCAGCACCTAGGAAGTGCCAGTGGTGTTTAGCTGCAAACTGTAATTTTTATTCAGAAAAAAGAGAGGAGATATGAGTCAAAGGTTAAAGGAGGAAACCAAACACATATGTACAGCCATGAATCTTCATTATTTGGGCAATAAAATAGATGTACATTTTTTCAGTTACCCATACCTGGAAATATGAATTTGAATCCTAGCTAAACAAATAAATAATTCACTAAAACATTAATGTAAACAGTTTTATCTGCCAGAAGATTTCTACAGTGGCTAAATGGTTAGCACTTCCGCCTGGCGGTACAAGGTTCATATCCCAAATTTGGCACCACCTGCCTGGAGTTTGCATGTTCTCTCTGTGCTGCGTGGGTTTCCTCTGGGTACTCCAGTTTCCTCCCACACTCCAAAGACATGCTGGTAGGTTAGTTATATCCTGTCTGGCCCTAGTATGTGTATGTATGAATGTATGTTAGGGACTTTAGATTGTATGCCCCTTGAGGATTAGGGACTGGTGTGAATGTACAATATATATGTAAAGTGCTGTGTAAAGCGCTGTGCACCTGTAAAAAAAAAAAAAAATTAAATTATGAAAGGTTCTGGACAAAGCCATTCACTCTCAGTCTGATATCTGCTGTGAAGGGAATTGCAAGAGATAGTACATATGCAGATTCCCATAAAGTATACTGACAGTACTTAAAGAAAGGTCACTCACTAAAGCTTGCCATATAAATTTTTAGAAAATTTTTATTAATTTTCAAGATTAGGTTTGACAAGCTAAACAATACAAGGTGGAAGAGAACAAATACATCAACATGCTTACATAAACCAATGTTACATTGGAAAGCGGCATAATAAAGACATAATCAAAACGGGATATGTATAGATCTCTTTGTTCAGCCTGTGGACTGAACAAAATAAGTCAAACAGATTCCTTTATCAACACTAACAGTGGAATTGATGAATCTCCCTGCTGGGTTATTCTATTCTGGCAGCCACTGTTTAGCCAATATCTTTCTGATAGGGTCCTTCGACTAAAGTCGACTGAACAATTAGCTTTTGAAGAATGCAGCAGTGCTGGCAGGACTGTAAACTGCTCGAAATTTGGCTGAATCAGCATTAAGTGGCCGAAATTCGAACAGTGTATGGCCAGCTTATGACTTTGCATTGAGAGATCTGGGGTGCATATGCTCAGGAAATAGACATTTGGATAGGAAGCTGGGGGGAAGGGAAGGAGGTCTCAAGACACCCAAGGAGGGCTAGCCTAAAATACAAAATAAATGCTTCAGCCCATCAATACCAGCATTGCTATATACTTTGGAGACAGGTTTGCTTTAAGGCCCTTCCTCACAGGATGGACTCCATTAAGATCAGCAGGGGATCAGAGCAGAGCAGGTGGATGACAGGTCTGTGTCTGCTCAGTTTATGCAGAGCGAACATGGACACAGCCCACTCTAATTTATGGGTGGCCAGGAGTAAATAGACTTCATTGTCCGTTAACACCCAAATGGCTTCCCATCCGCCTAGACAGAGGGGAATGGATCCCCTTCCATTTTTTCTTAGCAGACCGGAGCAGATTGAAGGTTGGTGTGTGGACACAAGTCCGTTTACACCCATTGATCCATAGGGGTGAATGGAGGATCCAATCAGGTCTGCCTGAAAAATTGACAGGCGGACCTGATCGAACCCATTGTGTGAAAGGGGCCTAAATCAGAAAGTAGCTGGGAAATTAAAACATATCTAAAAAATTAAATTTGTTTTTTTGTTTTAGAAAAAGATTCAACATTTTACATTCGTCAGCAAAACAGGAGGTGAGGGAAATGTTTCAATGGGGACACCTGTTCTGGTAACAATATAAATGGGATCTCCTCTAACTTTATGTTGTGTCTCCAGGACAGAAAGCAAAGGGAAATCTCCTCAACAGGACACAGACAGCAAAAATCAAGGGATTCCAACGATTCCCTACTAATTCCATAACAAATATTTTAGTAGAGATATACTTTATACCACCTGGTTTGTCATGTCTCTCTAAGACTCCAGTGGTGTAAAAAACTTGGTGGGAACAGAAGCTGGAACTATGATGGGGAGGGGACTTTTCAGCTGCAATGTCAAAGAGATAGAACAATAGAAAGAGAGAGAAAGACAGAGAAGCCAGTAGGTGACGCAGCCAAAGAGATCCCATTTATTAGTGAAATATTCTTTTTGTGTGCACTGGAACCCTAAAAAAAAGAAGAACACAACACTGAAATCTGCTTTTGATCCATCACTTTGTTTAACCATTTGCCGCCCGCCCTATGGCCGAATAGTGGCCGGCAAATGTCATCAGCGTTCCGGGTGGACGCCATATGGCATCCTCCCGCACATGCGCAGATCGGCCGATGACAGATCTGAGTATTGGCCCCCGTTGCTGGTACCATGTCACCTGCTGTGACCAATCACAGCAGGTCACATGACAGTTGTATACAATGGATGGCTTCATTCATGCCATCCATTGTATGTGTCATTCTTTGATTAGCTGTGGCCAAATCACAGCTAAGCACAAAAAAAAAAAAAAAAAAAAAAAAAAAAAAACCCTGACTGAATCGATGTCATTCAGGTAAATGCTTGCTTATAGCAAAGTAATTCTTTGCTACAAGCAAATTGTGTAAAATAAAAAAAAAATACTGATCACTTCCCCAAAGTAGTACAATGTTACTATGGTAACATTGTACTACTTTGGTCATAGTGAAATATCAAAAAAAATCTTAAATAAAATTTAAAAAAAGTAATAAAAAATTAAAAATAATAAAAAAATTTAAAAAAATATATAATATATATATATATATATATATTTTTTTTTTTTCATACTGTCTCCAGTCAGTGTCCCTGATCACCGCCATGCCAGATATATGATGATGCTGTACTGCACTGGTGACAGTATGTAAAAAACAAATAATTTTTTTAATTTTTTCATTTTCCGAAAAATTATGAGAAAAAAACTACTTTAAAAAAACTTGCCATTCCTCTTATGAAAAAAAAAATACTGATCACTTCCCCAAAGTAGTACAATATTACTATGGTAACATTGTACTACTTTGGTCATAGTGAAATATGAAAAAAAAATCTTAAAAAAAGAAAAAAAAATAATAAAAAATAATTTTAAAAAAAATAAAAAATTTTTTTTCATACTGTCACCAGTCAGTGTCCCTGATCACCTCCATGCCAGTTATATGATGATGCTGTACTGCACTGGTGACAGTATGTAAAAAAAAAATAGTGAAACTAATTTTTTTAATTTTTTCCCGAAAAATGATGACAAAAAAAATACAACTTCAAAAAACTCGCCATGCCTCTTATGAAGTACGTCGGACTGTCTACTCTGCAAAAAGGGGTCATTTGGGGGATATCTGTACTATTCTGACATTCTTGGACCTCAAGAAATTAGATTGGCTGTCAGTACTTCAGGATTGATCAATATTCAGATCTATACCATAGTTTGTGAACTCTAAACTTTCCTACAAACTAAAAAATACATCCTAATTTGGGTTATTTTCACCAAAGACATGTAGCAGAATACATCTCGGCCTAAATTTATGAAGAACAATTATTTATTTGCAAACTTTTATAACAAAAACAAAGAAAAACTTGTGTTTTTTTCAAAACTTTTGGTCTTTTTTTGTTAATTTAGCAAAAAATAAAACCCCAGCGGTGATTAAATACCACCAAAAGAAAGCTCTAGTTGTGTGAAGAAAATGATAAAATTTTAGTTTGGGTACAATATTGTATGACCGCGCAATTGTCATTCAAAATGTGAGAGCGCTGAAACCTGAAAACTGGCCTGGGCAGGAAGGTGTAAAATTGCCCGGTATTGAATTGGTTAAAGATAGATTAGTAGATGGGGGATTTGTAGCAAACATTGCAGTACTTCCTGAATTGTATGTTCTTTCTAAGTTACAAATGCCCATAAGACACCATAAATGAGTTCCTCCAATATGTATTAGACTAGGAAAAAACTGTATACATTATGGTATGTCATGTCAGCACTAATATACTCATTTCTGGCTGTAAGAGGACATACTGTATGAAAGAGGCATAACATTAGGATATTATATCACTACTAGTATACTGCAACAATGAGCAATGATGTGACATGTTACTGACCGGACACTTTTATCCTCTGAGTCTGAACAACACAGGACTCTCTGGGAACCCAGCAAAGGTGTGTTACCTGCAGAATGGGAAGCACATATTAAATGGTGAGTTTTGTCATTGTTGGGGTGAACATTTCACCACTGATGCTAAGTCACACTCATTGGTTCTCCATTGCACAGTTCTGCTGTGCAGATGGTTACAGGAGTCGCATATCAAATACAACTAACATACTTACAATAGTTTCATTAATATAAATGTTTGTTTTGAATGAATGCATATCTGCAGTTGCTGGTGTTCTTTATATTTGTCCCCTTGCCCAGTTTTACCTATGCTGTATTGTTTTATACTTGTCTTTTAAAGCTGGCCATACACTGACTGCAATTCGAACGGTTCAGCAAGGACCAGCAGAATTTCAATCAGTGTGTGGCCATCCCAGCTTGACAACAGATGATCATTTGACTGACTTCTGTCAAAGGGTGAGTGGCTGCAGCCACTGATCAGTGTATTCTGCATCATTACACCATGAGTGCAAGGTGCTGTGATGACATATTAGATACACAGAATATAACTGGATACTAACATTTATAGGTAAAGTTGATCCAGGGAATATCCAATTGCCTCTCGGGGGATCAGGAAGGAATTTTTTTCCCTGCAGGAGCAAATTGGATCATGCTTCGCTGGGTTTTTTTTTTGCCTTCCTCTGGATCAACTGTGGGTATAGGATTATAACTTTTTTTTTTTTTAATGGTTGAACTGGATAGACTTTTATCTTTTTTCAGCCAGACTAACTATGGTGAATGCTCTGCAATCAGAGGCTTTATTCAGCAGGGTAACAAATAACAGCCATAGCAGCCAAAAACAGAAGAAGCTTTTTCTGTGGGACTAAACTGATGTGAATGAGGTATCAGTTACCTCTACCTGAGCACTGGTGATACAGCCGCGATATCAACTAAGGAGGTAGTAGAACTAGTGTGTGTATTTCTGGCTGTGATGACATTCTCGGGGGTGGGTCTGTGATACCCTGAACTCACAGTTTGCCCTCTGGGTCGAATTATGCAAAGACTGAAGAAATCTACTGTAGTGGTGAAAATGTAGGCAGGTCCGGACTGGGACAAAAAATAGGAGAAAAATAGAAAAATTGAAGAATCATTGGGTGGATGGGGGGGGGGACACACACCTCCACATACATTCAACTGACACCCCCCTGCATTTACACACAGATACACTCATATCCACAGAAAAATACCTACCCCTTGCATTTACACACATTCAACCCTCTACACCATACATACATCCACCCCCTCCGCATTTACACACATACCTCACATAAATACATCCCCTCTACATTATACAGTGAAAGAAAGGAAGAGAGAGGGACAAACAGACAGAGAAAGATAGGGAGAGAGAGGGATAAAACTGCTGGAGCTCAGCGGCTGTCAGAAACAATTGGTCATGGACTGAACGATCTAATACAAGAACAACCAGAGCATAAATGGCACAATCCCCGGCTCCAATGCTCATGCTAACAAGCATACTCAATTTACAAAGCACCAGAAGTGGATAGCAAGCTTGTTACTGATTAGCTATCACATCCACTGCTCACTGTCACTTTCCATTCATGAAATATACATTAATACATACATTGAGGGAAGACTGGTGCAGCTTTGCATGGCAACCAAACAGCTTCTAGCTTTCATCTCCAAAGCTTAACTGAACAAGCTGAAGGTAGCAGCTGACTGGTTACTTTGCACAGTTGGGGAGAATGTATCAAAACTGGAGCAACCAAAAATCCAAAGCAGTTGAGAATTGTAACCAATCAGCTTCTGGCTTATATGATGATATGCATAAGTACAGAAGCCCACCAGATGTAGCTGATGACAATGTGAGGTACAGTTTGATTGGCTGCTATGGATAACAACACTTTGCACATGGCTACTTGATTTAGTAAATCATCCTAACACTCCCAAAGCAATCTAATACAAGTGTACTTTTTAGCTTTAAATGTGCGATCCTCTGGACCTTGTTCAGATGTATCCAGCACATAGCAGGCACTTAACTGGAAGAAGGGTAGAAATCGTCTAATTCCCTATTTTGGAAGCAGAAGATGCTGAGACAGGGGATCATACTCCCGACTTGACTACTGCTGTTCATCAGCCAGTCTGACTACTCTACACCAGCACACCAGTGGGAGCTGCCAGCGAAGGTAGTGATTGCATCATCCTCCTCCGCCGTCCCTCCGATCTCCACGTCACTTCCCATCCACGGGCAGCAGTCACCATGGCGGTGTGCAGGAAAGCCAAGTCTGTGAGTCCCCTTTATAACTATATTCCCTTCGCACACATTCCTGGAAGTACGGCTCATCAATGGAGGGTGATGTAGCGACTACCAGCTGGGACTGGAAATATCATATATTTCATATCTCAATATGGTCCAAAAAGATCACATCACAAAGGAAAGTGTAACATTTTGGAGTCACGCAGGACCCCATCATCATCATCATATGCCTGACGAAAGGGGTCCTGCGCGGATCCGAAATGTTGCACTTTCCTTTGTGATGTGATCTTTTGGGAATAAAAACCTTTTTTGGACCATATTGAGATCTGTGGTGTGCTGGCGAATACATACGTTTGCCTGTGAGGCCCCTCTGTCTGCTATAGCGGCCCTGGGGTGGCCTGGCCCACCAGGAAAATGTGCGCTGTACCTGATGGCCAGTCTGTGCCTAACTACAGGGGACAGTAACAGAGAGAGAAAGGTATTGCAGACATACTGTAGCTGTTTGTTTATTTTTTACCACTTCCAAGGGACTGTCAAAAGTTTTAGGCTTGACCCCTTTTTATAAGGCAGCTATAAAGCGGTTTGGTTGTTAAGATTGGTTTAACTCTTGGTGAGGGAGATGGGAAATGACAGATGAGCCTATTACATCTGAAGCTGGGTACACACCGTTAGTTTTTTTTCATAGCCAGCGGGATGAAAAAAAAAGAAAAAGTAACAGATTCCTGCATCCACACAAGCGAGGCAGATGCAGGAATCCTCTTCAACAGGACATTGTGTTTTGACAGCGAGGACTCTCCACTGTAAGAATACACTGATCAGTGCCACAGCCAATTGGTTAAAGAAGGTTTTCCAGCAGTCCAGTTTGACAGAAGCTGATCTAACGATTGGCTTCTGTCTAACAGGGAGGGCTACAAACAGATGGAAATTTGGCTTGGACCCTGCTGAACCAGCCAAATTTCGATGTGTGTGGCCAGCTTTAGTCTACATAAAACCATCCTTGCTTTAACACCAAGTACAGGACAGCACATAATCTAAAGAACAGGCTGGGGTCTTCTTTCTTTACATTTTAAACTATGAAAGGATGCAAGAAAGGCATTAAAGGGTCACATGCAGACAAAAACACCTGTTCTTCATAACTGCAAGACTAAAACCATGCAATGCAGTATATTTAAACGTTTACCCTTTCAAACTGATGATTTGTATATCTCTTGTTTCAATTTATGTAAATTAACTGCTTGCCAACCGCAGATAACCGAATGACGTCTACACTGCGGCCGGCCAGTTCTGGGAGGGCGTCATATGACGTCCTCCCAGAATGCGCTCTCCTGCTGCGCCCCCCAGGGGGGCACACCCGGCAACTCCGTGATCGCTGTGTCCTATGGACACAGCTGATCACGTGATGTGGTAAAAGGCCAATCGCAGCGGCCTTTTACCACGTGATCAGCCCTGTCCAATGACACGCTGATCACCAGGAAATGCAATTGCCGGTTCTCAGCTGCACTTTCCTCACACTGTCAGAGTGTGAGGAAAGTACTGCCTAGAACCAGCAGTTGTCAGAGCGGGGATCGGCACCGATCATCAGGGCACTTATGATCAGTGCCCTGATGATTGGTGCCCAGCAGTGCCACCCACCAGTTCCGCCCACCTGTGCCCAGCAGTGCACCCACCTGTGCCCAGAAGTGCCACCTACCTGTGCCCAGAAGTGCATTTTTTAGTTAGAAGTTAATTTTTTGCATTTTTTTTGTTTATAGCGCAAAAAGTAAAGTGCCCAGAGGGGATTAAATACCACCAAAGGAAAGCTCTATTTGTGAGAAAAATAATGATAAAAATATCATATGGGTACAATCTTGCATGACCGCGCAATTGTCAATCAAAGTGAGACAGCGCTGAAAGCTGACAATTGGCCTGGTAAAGAAGAGGGTATAAGTGCACGGTAGGCAAGTGGTTAAAGAAAAAACATTTTATACAGAGAGCACCCATGACACTGGTGTTACAGAACATTATGGGTCCTCTATAGACAGAGCATGAACAAAGTTGAAGAAGTTGTTTGTTTTCAGATTTTCTATCTGATGGTCTATCTGAAGGTCTACACAGCGCCTACAGAGCAAGCAAACAACTCCTCCGATTCATTCAGCTGTGTGTATCATTTTCAGCTTGCGCTTCTCAGCTTTGTAAACTGCCTTCTTTTCAGCAAAGCAGGTAAGACTAGTCCGGCAGAAAAATTAAAAGGATCTCCACCTGCTGGCTGAATGTAAGAAGAAAAATATAATGATGACATATTTCATATTTGTCATATTTAAAAATTAAAAGTTTTTATTTTATTTTATTTTTAGTTCTAATAAATAACAAAGAACAAAAATGAACACAAATCCAAAATACATAACCTAAAGGTAGTGGTAGCAGTGTGATAACATCCTATCGTTACTAAATACACGTTATTACTCACCAGATTTCTAGACACAGCAGTCTTGAGCAAGCACTGGCCAGTCTCCACATCCCATTTACACAGTGTATTGTCTCTGGAGCCCGTCAGTAGCTGGGTGCCATCTGCAAACAACAGAGGAGATTCTATCAGACAGAAAAGACACTGCTTTTCCTGCACTAGACCTCAGCACTGACCCCTATTCCAGGGCCATTATTGGTGGACTGCCAACTCACAGCTATGTTAGTTCTGAGGTTTAGAATGACTTTTATTGGCACCAATAAACTTTTATATAATCAGAAGAAGAAATCATTAAAGCAATGTTCCAGCTATGGGAGATTCCCAATGTTATCCGTGCAAATTAGGAAGAATAAAAGCAGAATGTAGCCAGGACACGGTGCCCCTTTAGAATAACTCATGTGTCCTTGAAAACTTGCATTTTCATTGTCCTAAGCTAGCAATGTTCCGTGTCATCTATGATCATGCAAAATGTAGTGTGAAATGTGTAAGAATTTTAATTGTCCCTGATGCTGCTCTGCTAAATCTTCATGAAGGATTTTATGTGTAATAATGTGTAATAATGTGTAGTGGTAACAAGCCAGGCAAGCACCTGTAAAGGGGCAGTGCAGGAGTGTATTTACCACAAGGCGAACAAGACACTTGCCTAGGGCGGCATTTTTCAGGGGGGCAGCACCTCCCTCTAGACGAAGAGATGAAAGAAGGGACACGTGCACCATGGGAACCAGGTGGGATCCAAGAGAGGCTACAGCCTGTTTGATGGTGTATGTAGAGCCTGGCTCTTGCTCCCAGGGATGTCCAGAGCTGGGAAGATGAGTGTCTCTCTATCGCCGGGGGGGGGGGGGTTGTAAAAGGCTCGTTGTTGGTCAGTGTCATTCTCTCTCCGTGGGAGGGGGAAGGGGGGGGGTTGTGTTGGTCGGTGTCCATGTGGGCATACAGTTTTCACGTTGCCTAGGGCAGCACAAAACCTAAATACACCACTGGGGCAGTGGGCATAATTGAGCTGACTTTGAGGGCAATGGACCATCACATAGCAGTCTTTCATGACCTCCTAGAATGCCTTGCTATTTCGACATGCTAACTTCAGACCAAGATGCCTGGTTACTTCTAGTGCCTACAAGTGCACACTGCTCTACATCCTAGCAAACCACGGGATAAAAGGAAATTTTTACTGAAAAAGGTCTTGGAGTTATCTATTGCTTCTTTTCTTCTCTTCATCTCTTGCACATTGTAGCAGTAAAATCTCCTAGTTCCTTGCTCTGTTCCCACTCTTCTTTTAGTTTTGTAAGGTTCGACTACCCTTAGGCCCCGTTCACACCCATTTGGTTTAGCCCTCAGTCACCACTCACACTGCTGCGATTTAAAATTGTGCGATATGTGTGCCATTTCAGCATGATTTCAGTTGCAATTTCTGAAGTCTTTATTGCTACTTGTAAAGATTTTCAATGATTTCTTGCAAGTTGCAGTGTGATTTCCATTATATTCTATGTATGTGAAATCACAAAAAAACTGCAGAAAGAGTAATGCAAGAACTACTTTAGAAATCACGCGGCAGCAAATCGCACATGTTAAGACACTGACATTCACATTCATTAGATGCGATTTCAGGTGCGATTTCAATTCACAAATCACACCTGAAATTGCACTTGTATGACCAGACACTCAATGTATGCTAATGCACAACAGCAGGGGTGTATTTACCACAAGGCAAACAAAGCACTTGCCTAGGGCAGCAGTTTTCAGGGGGGCAGCACCTCCCCCCAGAAAAAGGGATGAAAGAAGGGACACGTGAGCCATGGAAACCAGGTGGGATCAAGAGAGGGTGCAGTTGCTTGATGGTGTATGTAGAGCCTGACTCTCGTTTCCGCTGTGAAGATGAGTGTCTTTTTCTCTATCGCCGGGGAAGGGGGTAGTGAAAGGCTCTCCCGGGTGGGGGACAGGGGTGTTGTTGGTCAATGTCAGCAAATGGTTGGTCAGTGTCCATGGGAGCAGATGATTTTTGTGTTGCCTAGGGCAGCCTAAAACCTAAATACACTACTGCACAACAGTAGGATTGTAAAAACAAAAGTGCAGCACCTAAGTGATCAAGAATAATCAAAAACCATATTGTAAATAAAATGCCAAAATAACTAACAAAAGCTTTAAAAAGTGCATAAAAAGTCCCAAAAACGTGACCCTTCTTAGTGGTAAATAATAACTCCAACTGTTGTCCGTGTGTAGTATTCATCAAACAGTCCAAATATCACCAGCTATTAAGCTGCATCAGAAAGGCAGCAGACCACATTTTTAGCACAGACAGGGCATCGCAGTATGGGAATCCGTCCACATTGTAATCACCCACTCGCACAGGGGGCTGCCAACACTACCAATAGATCAAGTCTAGGACTATCAAGTATATTGTGTAGAAATTTATTCATAAAATCAGCTTCTATCCATCTATTAAATCCATACACCAAAGTTTACAGGTATAGCAGAGTGAAAATCTAAGATGTGGGGACATTCACTTACTAAGATGGCCACCGGTCCCAAAAGCAGAAGCTGCGGTGTGACGTCATAACATATTTCCTCCCAGTACATCTTCAGGGGATACTATTTTTGTCAAAAGTATATTATTTGTATACATAAGAGTGCAGCGCTTAATTGCCTAGTATCAGGGTTTTGTTGTCAGCTGCTATATGTTATACACGTCATTATATATATATATTTGTTTAAGTATATTATTTACACTTTGGTATTGATTATAAGAAGATGTGATATTCATTCTTGAGCACTTAGGCACTGCACTTTGGCTTTCACATTTTATTTGGAGGGTTTGTATACTTAGCTTGCTTGCTAGCTGAATTGCACTTGTTGGCTTTTGGAAGCTAAGCAGGGTTGGACCTTGTCAGTACTTGCATGGGAGACCACCTTACCTAACTTGCTAGCTGCACAAATGTTCTCTTTTCCCTAGCACTGACTAATTGTTCTGAGACAACAAAAGGATTGCCATTCTTTTCTACTGGACCTATTCAACCCTTTGCATTTCAGTATTGAGAAAAATTCTACAGGTGCTTTTTTGGTGCATTAACATGCATTTTTGGCTCCATATGCTTCAATAAAAGCACACAAATACATGCATCAAAAAAAAGCTAAAACAACGCATATACAAAGGTGTGACGCCAGCCTCAGAGTGTTCCCACTGCCTTTCTCCATTATTTAAAATCTCACAGTTGGAGTCTTAGGGATACAAGACAGACCATTAGGCTAGGATCACGTCAGTGTGGGTGGTGCTGCTGCGGATCCGCACGAAAATCCGTACAGAGAAATGCGGACCCGTGGGCGGGTGCCATTGGTTCTAATGGCACGCTGCCCGCTTTGGAAAACGCAACCGTACTGGGAACCGAGGTTCCCGTGCGGGTTGCATTTTTGGAAGAAGCGCAGGGACTTCTTCTCTGTGTGTCACGGGGCACGAGAGTCCATTTAAATAAATGGGCTCTCGTGTCCGCGCAAAACACGGCCCGCACGGCCGCATATATGAGAACTGGGGCTTACGCGATTTCAAGTGTATTTTTAGCCAAAAATGTTAAGAACCTTTTAAGCAAATATCTATTTTGTTACCAGATAAAACAGTTCTTTGAGGAGTCAAAAACAGTTTAAACCTCTGACTGTAAGGTGTATTTCAATCACAATAAACAAACAGAGGGCGCACTGGCCTAGTGTATTATCCTTAAAAATGTTTAATGTATAAAAGGTAAGTATTTTACTTATAAATTCTTAAAAGTACAAGTTGTACTTTTAAAGGCAAATTTGTCTTTATTATTTTGCACAAATTTAACAGACAGAACATGAGCAGTATAAAGAACATGTACAAGTAAGAAAACTGAAAAACATCACAGATGTGGCTATGATCCATGTGGATGTATGAAAATGATGCAGTACAACAGCAAGATGGAAGGATCAATAACTCATATTATGGAGATATACAGTCAGGTCCATAAATATTGGGACATCGACACAATTCTAACATTTTTGGCTCTATACACCACCACAATGGATTTGAAATGAAACGAACAAAATGTGCTTTAACTGCCAGACTGTCAGCTTTAATTTGAGGGTATTTACATCCAAATCAGGTGAACGGTGTAGGTATTACAACAGTTTGCATATGTGCCTCCCACTTGTTAAGGGACCAAAAGTAATGGGACAGAATAATAATCATAAATCAAACTTTCACTTTTTAATACTTGGTTGCAAATCCTTTGCAGTCAATTACAGCCTGAAGTCTGGAACGCATAGACATTACCAGACGCCGGGTTTCATCCCTGGTGATGCTCTGCCAGGCCTCTACTGCAACTGTCTTCAGTTCCTGCTTGTTCTTGGGGCATTTTCCCTTCAGTTTTGTCTTCAGCAAGTGAAATGCATGCTCAATTGGAATCAGGTCAGGTGATTGACTTGGCCATTGCAGAACATTCCACTTCTTTCCCTTAAAAAACTCTTTGGTTTCTTTTGCAGTATGCTTTGGGTCATTGTCCATCTGCACTGTGAAGCGGCGTCCAATGAGTTGTGAAGCATTTGGCTGAATATGAGCAGATAATATTGCCCGAAACACTTCAGAATTCATCCTGCTGCTTTTGTCAGCAGTCACATCATCAATAAATACAAGAGAACCAGTTCCATTGGCAGCCATACATGCCCACGCCATGACACTACCACCACCATGCTTCACTGATGAGGTGGTATGCTTAGGATCATGAGCAGTTCCTTTCCTTCTCCATACTCTTCTCTTCCCATCACTCTGGTGCAAGTTGATCTTGGTCTCATCTGTCCATAGGATGTTGTTCCAGAACTGTGAAGGCTTTTTTAGATGTCGTTTGGCAAACTCTAATCTGGCCTTCCTGTTTTTGAGGATCACCAATGGTTTACATCTTGTGGTGAACCCTCTGTATTCACTCTGGTGAAATCTTCTCGATTGTTGACTTTGACACACATACACCTACCTCCTGGAGAGTGTTCTTGATCTGGCCAACTGTTGTGAAGGGTGTTTTCTTCACCAGGGAAAGAATTCTTCGGTCATCCACCACAATTGTTTTCCGTGGTCTTCCGGGTCTTTTGGTGTTGTTGAGCTCACCGGTGCGTTCCTTCTTTTTAAGAATGTTCCAAACAGTTGTTTTGGCCATGCCTAATGTTTTTGCTATCTCTCTGATGGGTTTGTTTTGTTTTTTCAGCCTAATGATGGCTTGCTTCACTGATAGTGACAGCTCTTTGGATCTCATCTTGAGAGTTGACAGCAACAGACTCCAAATGCAAATAGCACACTTGAAATAAACTCTGGACCTTTTATCTGCTCATTGTAATTGGGATAATGAGGGAATAACACACACCTGGCCATGGAACAGCTGAGAAGCCAATTGTCCCATTACTTTTGGTCCCTTAACAAGTGGGAGGCACATATGCAAACTGTTCTAATTCATACACCGTTCACTTGATTTGGATGTAAATACCCTCAAATTAAAGCTGACAGTCTGCAGTTAAAGCACATCTTGTTTGTTTCATTTCAAATCCATTGTGGTGGTGTATAGAGCCAAAAATGTTAGAATTGTGTTGATGTCCCAATATTTATGGACCTGACTGTAACATAACATAGTTTCAGGGGGGTATCCCCGGGCGAGATGTATGGAACAATATGAGAGAACTCCGCACAACCAAGAATGTAAACCTAAACTGAGAAAGAGAAGGGAGAGGAAAAGAGAAAAAAAAAGGAGGAAGCCAGTGGTAAGGATAGCGAAGGAAAAGAAGAGAGAGAAGAGAGGGGAATTGGAGACAGGGATGGCAGAAAGCAGCATCAGGGTGGTTCTGCATCTGTATCTCACCTGAGCAACCCCACGGACCGCATCCCAGCACGGACAGCAGGGTCCAATTGGTGGACAAGCCAAAATGAAAATGAGTCGGGGAAGCAAGGCTCAACTCCACTAGAGCTCAACAGGGGAACACATATCTCGAGAGTCGCAGAGGAGGAGAAATGGAACCAGACCGACCACACTAACTTATATTTATCATAGGTATCATTGGTCAAGTTGTACTTTTACCTCTGTTTATTTATTGTGACTGCAGTGCTCATAGACCTCCCCAGTCTTGTGGGGGCAGCAAGGCAGGTGCACCCCAAGAAGGCCAAGTTTTGAATGCAGCCTACTAAACCTTCCCGGGTCCATTCCCTAAGCGCAGGAAGATCACAGTTTTCCATTTCTTTGTAAGGTGTATTTCCAGACTTTCCCAGCCAGTGGCACTGTATGAGAAATAGGGAACACTGACTCCCAGTCCTCAAGACACTGGAGCTGTACTTGTAACTCCTTGGAGGTACCAGGACAGTATCTACATCAAATAAATAACATTTCATTCCCTTGATAATAAATCTGACAAAGAGTGCAGGCTCACCAGGACTTACTGCCAGCCCCGTCACTATTAGATGATGCCCCAGGAACTTCTGAGCACTGCCAGCCTTGCAGTGCAGATCCCACATGAGCACCGTCTTGTCCCGCGAGGCGCTGAAGAATCGGTTTGATCCAAACACACAGGTAATCTATAGATCAATAACAGATGTTATTCATTTACACAAAATGTCTGGTAATGTGTACAGTTTATATTTACACAAAAAGCATGACAGCACCTATATATAAATATATTACCTTGGAAACCTCTCGATCATGCCCCACAAATCTTTTCAGAGCTGTTCCACTTCTCCAGTTTGACACAACAACAGCCTGAGACAGACATTAAAGACATGATTGTCATCACCATTCTATATTATTGTTTCTAAATTATTGGTAAAAAAAATGTGTTTTCTATCTATACATCAACGGTCCACCATTATTTATCTATAGGAAGATATCAAACAGCTTTTCTAGAATTTAGTGCCACTAAATTGCCATAAATTGTCATAATATAGTATTTATTTTTTTGGGTTATGACCCGCCCCCAGCTGATAACAGCATCAACCTTGTGCTCTTTGCTCATGTTCACATGGGTACTGTGCAATGCACAGTATATATGACAACACAAAACAGTCCTGTTTTGGCTCTGTTCCTCATCCCTGTCTGTTCAAGTGTACGGGAGGCTGATATAAAGACAGATAACAGACACTTGTGCTAGCTGTAGTTAAAAATAGATGCAATGTTGCATTTATTGAACGTAGATTTATACATTTCTTTTTCAATAAAGCCCAACTCTTGTTTTTTTATTTTGTTTGTTTTAAAGGTTCCCAGCAGCTAAAATATGCAGCTCTGTTTAAAACTCAGCTACTCCTTGGTGTTGTTCGCCCCCCCCCGTAATTCAATTTGGCCACAGCATGTTCTTAACCTGGGTACACACTAGTAGAATTTAAGTTGACATTTTTCCTTATAAAAGAATCATTATTCTAATCATTGATGGAGCCAAAATTATGTTTGTTTTCGACCGCAGTGACGAGAAAAAGGATTTGAAGGAGCAAGAAGGAAAGTTTTTGTCAAGTGTACAAATTTCTAATAGTGTATGTGGCTTTCATTTGGTAAACTCCAATCATTTCAAAATTGAATGTTAAATCAAATCTTGATACCACTATCGAATGACATTTGAAAAATTTTCATTCCTGTTCACTGATGAGAATTTTCATATGAATTTTGGTGGACGTTCAAAATTCTACTAGTGTATACCTAGCTTTAGTCTATTGGGATTAAAGTGGTTCTAAAGGCTGAATGTTTTTCCGTATTACCTTCATGCATTCTATGCATGAAGATAAAAAAACCTTCTGTGTGCAGCATCACCCCCAGCCCCCCAATACTCACCTAAGCCCCCTCTCAATCCAGTGATTTCCACTGCCGTCTCGGCTATCCTGGGACTCCCTCTTCTCATTGGCTGAGACAGAAGTGGGAGCCATTGGCTCCCACTGCTGTCAATCACAGCCAGTGAGCCAATGAGGTGGGGGGGGTTCAAGCTGCGGCTCCTTGTATGGACAATTTGCATGGAGCAGCGGGTGCCCCCATAGCAAGCTGCTTTCTGTGGGGGCACCCAGTGACGGCAGATGGGAGGAGCCAGGAGAAAACCCATGCGGGGGACCCAAGAAGAGGAGGAATTTTCATATGAATTCCAGGTTGCTCTGTGCAAAAAGGTTTTTTACCACTGCACACAGTAGGTAAGTATAGACGTTTGTTATTTTACCCAAAGAAAAAAAAAAAAAAAGAGGAGAACCTTTAGAACCACTTGAAGTCATTTTTTATTGGTTAGGAAAGATTGGGAAGTGAAATCTCTGTAAGAAAATGTTATAGTTGTCACCATGATCGAAGACTCTGTCAATGGTGACAACCTTTTCCACTGACAACTGTCAAAGCAGAGTCTCCTAAATAGCATTCCTCCAAAGACTGCTGGGGGTTCCTTGCACAATGAAGAGTTTCTAACTCCCAGTAACCACTGATATCAATTATCTTTTCAGTTGTGGGGGGCAGTTTTCCCACTGGTCAACAATATAAGAGTGTCTTTCTCCCAATGGCCACCAATGTAAGTTGGCCATACACAAGTCTTTTTTTTTTCGCTCAACTAAAGAAAATGACTTGTTTCCCCCATTTGCACATTGGAGGTGGATGGGGGAATCCCTCCTTCTAAGCTAATGTATTCTGACAACAGGGAGACTTCCCCGCGTGGTCCACAATACAATCCTCAGCACCACTAGTGCTGATAGAGAGTTGCGGCTCCGTGTGTGCATGTAAACATGGAGCAGCGGGTGCCCCCATAGCAAGCTGTTTGCTGTGGGGGCACCCGACAGTAGAGTGGGGACAGGAGAGTCTGCGGGGGACCCAAGAAGAGGAGGATCCGAGCTGCTCTGTGCAAAACCACTGCACACAGCAGGTAACTATAGTAAATAAGCTTTGCAAAACACTTTAATGACATCCAGTGTAACCTAAGGGGACAAAGGATATACCGAGATTGCAGAGTACATGGACTCACCACCTGATAGAATCCCAACACAGATGCAGAGAGCAATGCTGAAATCAGCAAGCCAGCACCACTCTCTGCATTCCTGAGGTCCACAAACGGCCAGAGAAGACCCAAACTATAAGAAAGTCTTACTTGCCATGTGACAGGCCTGAAGAAAGACATCTGAAAATGAAAGGTATGAAAATCAAAAAAGCAAAAAATATGATTTTTTTTTTTTTTTGGTCAGAGTCTGAGATTGTTGTTAATATATATGTTTTGGTGATTCACTGGAGGTTGTGCAATTAGATCTCTTTCGGTTAACATTTATACATACTAGTGCATATAACTCTGGCTCTGCAATGAACCCCCCCCCCCTATTTTTAGCTTAGGGCTCTAATCTGTGGACAATTACATGGTGGACTAACATGTTGATTGAACTTTGCTATTTCCATGATTTACCACTTACCACTTGTTTTGGGGGAATCAATGGTGGAGAAGGATCTGGGGGTTCTGGTAGATCACAAGCTTAATAATGGCATGCAATGCCAAGCTGCAGTTTCTAAAGCGAGCAAAATCCTCTCTTGTATTAAAAGAGGTACAGACTCCAGAGAGAGAGATATCATATTACTCCGGTACAGATCATTGGTAAGACCTCATCTGGAATATGCAGTTCAGTTTTGGGCACCAATTCACAAAAAGAACATTGGGGAACTGGAGAAAGTACAGCGAAGGGCAACCAAACTGATAAGAGGCATGGAGGAGCTCAGCTATGAGGAAAGATTAGAGGAACTGAATTTATTCTCTCTTGAGAAGAGGAGATTAAGGGGGGATATGATCAACATGTATAAATACATCAGTGGTTCATATAGTGAACTCGGTGTAGAGCTATCCACCCTGAGGTCATCACAGAGGACAAGGGGGCACTCTTTACGTCTGGAGGAAAAGAAATTTAATCTCCAAACAACGAAAGGTTTCTTCACAGTAAGAGCTGTGAAAATGTGGAATAGACTCCCTCAAGAGTTGGTTCTGGCCAGCTCAGTGGATTGCTTAGGAAAGTCCTGGATTCTTTTTGAATACACAGAATATAATTGGATACTAACATTTATAGGTAAAGTTGATCCAGGGAATATCCAATTGCCTCTCGGGGGATCAGGAAGGAATTTTTTTCCACTGCAGAAGCAAATTGGATCATGCTTTGCTGGTTTTTTTGCCTTCCTCTGGAGCAACTGTGGGTATAGGATTATAATTTTTTTTTTTTTTTAATGATTGAACTGGTAGGACTTTTGTCTTTTTTTCAGCCAGACTAACTATGTAACTATGTAACTTGTTAATAAAGGTAACACGGTTAATCCTCCTCTGTTATCTCAAGCTATAGACTCAGATCACCATCATTTATGGATATATTTACTTCTAATAAATGTATGATAGATTTTTGTAAGCTTAAATTGGCTCCCATAAACAATGTTGACTGTCAACATACTCCCCAATTGTTCAGCTTGGCAGAAGTGTGAAATCCTGTGTCAATCTGTGCAGTACACATTCCGGCAATTGCACATTTCTAGCCTAGCAGAAACCTAAACCCCTGGGCTTTAATTACAGAGTAGCCTATATCACAGTGCGAGTAATGTATCCACAGGACTGTGCTCACACAATTAGCACTAACCTTGTCCTTCCCTCCCGATACGCACAGGTCAGATTTCAGGGCTGAGATGTAAGTGACGGCATCATTGTGAGCGCGGGTTTGCTGTGGAATTGGCTGGGCTGGTGGTCTCTCCTCCGCATGGTGGTCAGCCCTAAAGATAGAATGTCACAATTTATCAAGTAAATCATTTTACTATAGGGTCCTTTCACATGGGCTGTGCTGCGTCTGGTCTGATCAGCAGGGGATCCGTGAACAGATCTCCAGCCGAATCTGAGCAGAACAGGATGGATTTCACTTTCACTTTTGTGACATCCATGCCAATTCAGTTTTTATCTTCATTTTGACAGTGGCCCTTTCCAGATCCGTGTTTGATCGTTGGGTGTCTGGATGAAAGCAGACTTGCATCTGTTGGCATCAGGCTACCTCCTATCTGTCACATTTAGGTCCATAAAAACTGTACCTGGATAGACTAGGAGGTAAGTGGGTGTAAACAGATGCACCCCCATTTATATATGCCTGTCCATAGACTTACATAGAGCTTCTGATCAGGTCTTCCTTGAAAACTGACAGGTGGACCTAATTGGAAAGCCCATATATGAAAGCAATAGAAAGTCTTGCAATGACGCACATGTAAGGTTTTTTGTTTGTTTTAGTTTAGAGACAGTATGGAAGAGTAACCATCTACTCTCTGTTTGTCCTGTTATTGATCTGATGATCTAAATACAGCTGTCACCAAGAAAGGAGATGAGGGGACACCTACCATTTCTAAAGGAAATCTTTCATTTTTGGGGTCAAATTTGCCCAAAACAAAAAACATAATATATTGCAGCTTACCAGTCTTTGGTTGCATTAGGCTCCATTCACATCTGAGAGTAGCAGTTTTTTCGCGCATATTTTACCGTGCTTTTTGCACGCTTTCATACAGCGTTTTTAGCCGTTTATGAGCTGTGGCATTTTTTTATTAGCCAATAGAGAAAAAATCATCTGTTGCATCATTTGTTGCTACTTTTTTCTACTTCAGCTTTTCCATCAGATTTTATTTCTTTTTTTATTATTATTATTATTATTATTATTATTATTAATCATTTACTGATTATTTTGTTAATTTATTATTTATTTAGTATTTTTTGTAATAATAATAATAATAATAATAATAATAAATTAATAAATGAATGTTAAATAAATAAATAAAAATAATAATAAATAATTACTATGTAATAATAAATAAATAAACCCCCTAACCCTTAAAAAATATATTAAACAAATTCTTGTTATCTTTATTATTAATACATTATTATTAATTAATAATAAATAAATGTAAAATAAATACAAAAATAAATAAAAAAATCATAAATAAATACTTGTAATAATAAATTAATCATAATTAACCCATAAACTTAAAAAAACCTAAAAAAGTTATAAAATAAAAATAATTTTTTATTATTATTATTAATAATACTAATAACAATGTATTTGTTGTTCAGGTGTTTATTTATTATTATTATTATTATTATTATTATATTATTATTAATTAATTTAATTATATTATAATTTATGAAACTCTTTTAAGGTTAGGGGTTAATTATTATTTCATTATTATTTATTTATCATGATTTTTTTTATTTATATGTGTATTTATTGTACATTAATTCATATATTATTACTATTTTTTAAAATATATTTTCATTTGAGCAGAAAATCGCACAAAATGAGCAAAAGCGTGCAAAAACGCACCAATCACGCGTTTCTATTCCTTTGCATGAGAACAAAAATGCACCACAAAACAAGCAAATATGCCCAATTTGAGCTACAAAGTAGCTCCAAAATGTTTTTGAGCTTCAGGCGTTCTGCTTCAGGTGGTTTGGAGTGGAGATGTGAACCATCTCCATAGAGGAATATTGATTCCCCCCCCCCCCCCCGAGCGTTTTGGAGCTTCGAGCTTCACGCTACAAAATGCTCAGGTGTGAATGGGGCCTCAGGGTTATGTACATGAACATTTGGAGGCATCTTATCTGCCTAGTGTAAATTTCCCAACCTTTTCACACACCAGAGAGTCGCAGGTGCTGTGTACAGTCTTCACATGCTAAGTATTTTCCAAATGTGAAACCTTCAATCTCAGGAAATAAGTTGTACGTACATGTACAGGTGAATGACAATGCAAGAAAGCATCAGCCATTTTCTTGTATGGCAGTGACAAGTGACACCTACAGCTCTCTGCGGGCAGGAAAGCACCAGGAAATTTACACTAGACATATAAAAGTGCCTACAAATGTGTGTACACTTAAGATGACCATAGAAGGTACAGATTTTTTCATTCAGCCAGCTGACTGAATGAAAAAAAAATTTACCAATTCCCTACTCCACAAATTCGATGTGGATACAGTAATCCTCCCCACAGTAAAGAGCAGGACTCCCCCACTGTCAGCATATACTGATCAGCGCTGGAGCTCACTGGCTGCAGATCGGGTGCAAATTTTCCAGCAGAACCATTCATGAGAAGTCTATCAATAGTTCCACTTCTCGTGAACAGGAATGGCCATACCTGGATCGAAATTCATCCAGTAGCTGCTGGCCAGCTTATATTTTTTAATTTTTTAGGCACACAAAATACACTGGCAAGAAAACGTGTGAATCCTTTGGAATGAACTAGTTTTCTGCAGCAATTTGCCACAAAATGTGATCTGATCCTCATCTAAGTCACACTAGACAAACACAACGTGCCTAAGCTGATAACACACAAACAATTCTAATTTCACGTGTCTTTATTGAATACACCCATTAAACATTCACAGTGCTGGAGGAAAAAGTAAGTGAATCCTCTGAGTTAATAGCTGGTTGAACCGCCTTTGGCAGCAATGACTTCAAGCAAGTATTTCGGTATCTCCGGATCAGACCTGAACAACATTCAGGGGGAAATGTTTGACCATTCCTGTTTGCAAAACTGCTTCAGCTCAGACACATTTGTAGAATGTCTGGTGTGAATGGTTTGATTGATCTGTATGGGGTAAAGGCCTAGGCTCTGACTTTTTCTGAAGCCAGTCTGTGGTGGATTTACTTTGATGCTTAAGGTCATTGTCCTGATGCCTTGTCCATGTAGGATATTTTGATAAAGTTGGGAATTCATTTTCCCCTCGATGGCAGATGGTCCAGGTCCTAAGACAGCGAAACAAGTCCAAATATTGATGTTCCTTCCACCATTCTTTATTGGTGGGATGATGTGATGATGTTCTGTGCATGTTCAAAGTGTAATTCTTCCAGAACTGTGCCCAGTTTTTGCGGCATACAAAGTGCTAAGTATTCTTCCCGAAGAATTTGACTTTTGTTTCATCAGTACACAAAACATTTTCCCAGTAGAGTTGTGGTTTGCCAAAGTGTTCTTTGGCAAATTCAGGCACACAGCAACTTGTCTTTTTTTGGGCTCCTCTGTGGTGTTCTGCCAATGGACACCGTACTTGTTCAAAGACTTACTGTACACATGGTAGACTCATGAACAGGAATGTTTGCTTTAAATAAGTTCCAGTGATGTGTGCTTCAAGCATTAGTCATACAAAAAAAGTCTTTGGGTTCTTTCAGGCCATTAAGGCTTCTGTGGTGTTCTGTATTGTGCCTTGGGAGTCATCTTGGCTGGGAACCCATTTCTAGGAACTGCTGCATCCATTTATTTGTAGACAATTCGACTGTTGACTGATGGATGCCTAAACACTTTGAGATTATTTTATATCCCTTTCCAGCCTTATGCAGATCAACTACTCTTGATTGTATGCCTTTAGAGAGCTCCTTTTTGCGAGGCATGGTTCCCGTAAGCTGATATTTCTTATGAACAGCAATCTTAAAATGTATGAGTGTCTTTTACCAATCAAAGTAACTCTACACCATGCCTCCAAACTGATTTAATTCATTGGGACTCCAGATGTGCAAACTACTGACTCCAATTAGCTTTCGACGAAGAAATCAGTCTATGGGTTCACTTAGTTTTTCGTCCAGCACTGTGAATGTTTAATGGGTGTGTTCATTAAAGATACAAGAAATTAGAATTGTTTGTATGTTATCTGCCTAAGAACACTGTTTGTCTATTTATGACATAGATGAGGAACAGATCACATTGCATGGCAAATTATTAAACTAGTTTTTTCTAAGGGGTTAACATACTTTTTCTTTCCACTGTACTTGTATCTTGCCAGAAATGTAGCAACCAACGCAACTGATATCCCAAACAATGTTATCAATTTTCCCAGCTAGTTTCCATTAACTACAAACACCCCCTTCCTATAAAATAAAGATGAAAGGAAAGAAGGTGTACTGGCAGGATCACCAGGTAAAAAAGAAAGGGAAAAAGCCTGAAAAAAAAAACTAATGCAGCACCACATTTAAGGACTGGTAAGCATTTGTGAGGTCAGGTTCTGATGTCGGACAAGAAGCTCTGGCTCGCAGTCTCCACTCTAATTCATCCCAAAGATATTCTATCGGGTTGAGGTCAGGACTCTGTGCAGGCCAGTCAAGTTCCTCCACCACAAAATCACTCATCCATGTCTTTATGGACCTTGCTTTGTGCACTGGTGTGCAGTCATGTTAAAACAGGAAGGGGACATCCCAAAACTGTTCCAACAAAGTTGGGAGCATGGAATTGTCCAAAATGTCTTGGTATGCTGACGCCTTAAGAGTTTCCTTCACTGGAACTAAGGGGTCAAGCCCAATCCCTGAAAAACAACCCATAATCCATAATTTCCCTCCACCACAATCCTCCCTCCACCAAAATCCACTATAATCCCCCCTCCACCAAACTTTACTCTTGACACAATGTAGTCAGGCAAGTACCGTTCTACTGGCAACTGCCGAACCCAGACACGGCCATCGGATTGCCAGACAGAAGCATGATTGGTCACTCCAGAGAACACGTCTCCACTGCTCTAGAGTCCAGTAGCGATATGTTTTATACCACTGTATATGCTTTGCATTGCACTTGGTGATGTAAGGCTTGGATGCAGCTGCTCAGCCATGGAAACCCATTCCATGAAGCTCCCTATGCACTGTTGTGCTAATCTGAAGGTCACATGAAGTTTGGAGGTCTTTAGCTATTGACACTGCAGACAGTTGGTGACTTCTACACACTGCGTGCTTCACATGTGCTGACCCCGCTCTTGGCCTAACACTTT